TTCACAACTACTTTGTGTGATTCTATCTCGACTAATTTCCTCTCTCTTATTGGAAAGGATGGCCAGGCTGAAGCTCTGTTATTGGCTGAGCATTTTATTCTCCAAATCCATATCGTGTTAGAAAAAATAGAAGATACATCGTTAATACCTTCTTGATATGAATGAATAAAGTTAGTGTAATATGATCCCAAAACACTGGTTTAAGGGAATCATGTCAAAATACAGAGTATGCTACAACTATGGATGGACACTTAAAGATCTTGATGCTCCTAATGAACTGGGCAGTCACCAAAGACAAAGAATATTATATGATTCTCACTTACATGGAGAGTTGTCAACCTGAAATATTGGAAAGGTTAGAATCTGTTTTAAGAGTTTATTCAGGCAAAAAGGGCTTAGAAGAGCCATCTGGCATAACATGGACTCCCGAGAATGAGATCAGTGCTGCTCATTAAATTAGGCGTAGGGCAGGCTTGGCGGCTCACTCCTGTATCTAGCACTCTGGTGTAGGCTGAGAGCGGGGCGAGATGCTCAAGGTCCAGGAGTTCGAAAACCACGCTGAGACAGAAGGTGAGGCCCGCCCCATCTCCTGCTTAACGCATACGAAGAAAGATTATTGCTAAAAAACTAGCCAGGATGAGTATTTTAGTTGATATTTATCAAAAACTAGGCTGGGCATGTGGTGGCGCATGACCTGATAGTCTAGCTATTGGTGTGTGTGGAGATTGCTGGTGTCCAGGAGTTGGAGGGTGCTGGAGCTAGGCTGTAGCCTGGCCATCGCCACCGTCTCTCTTTGGGTCTAAAGAAGAGATCTGCGTCCTCTATATTAAAAAATATATATAAATATATAAAATAATTGAGGTCAGGCCATGTGCGGTGTGTCTCTGACTTGTGATGAATCTGCACTCTGGAGACGCGCGATGGCGATCGGCGCAGGATGCGCTTGGAGGTCAGGGTTTGGCGGCCAGCCTGAGCAGGGAGCAAGACCTGTACTCGTGCGACCTGATTAATAGATAAGATGAGTGTGGGTGCGCGCTAACCCTGAGTGGAGGCTGACGGGCGAAGTGCATGAGCCCCGCCCGCAGGGAGGTTTCAGGTGGGAGGCGGTGTGGGACCTCCGCCTCCTCGGTGATGGCCACGGTGCCCACGTCTGCGCGGGGGCTCACAGTTAAGAAAACAACTATGCGATGTGATGGCTAGGTGAGGCGCTGTGGCTCACGCCTGGTATCGCCTAGTGCGTCGGCTGCCGAGCTCTGGTGTGAGGCCGGAGGCGGCGGGATTGCTGCCAAGGTCAGGGAGTGTGTTCCAAACCCAGCCCTGAGGCAACGAGTGACGACCACGCGTTCGCTTACTACTCAATAGAAGAGAAATAATTGGCAACGAGTTAGGGTTGTACTATAATAAAAATGGTAGGCCGGGCATGGTCGGGGGCGCGGATGCCTGGTACGTCCCAGGCTAATCGGGAGGCTTGAGCCAGGAGGAGGCGCCTTGGAGGCCCAGGGCGCAGTGCTTGAGGGTGGTGGCGTGTGAGCCTAGGATGAGCGCCCGGCACTGCACGCGTCTGCCCTGGAAACAAACGTGAGACTCTGTCTCCAAAAGAAAAGAAAAGAAAGAAGTACAGCTGGGGG